GATTATTACGGTCTTTAGTCAGCATATCCGGAAGAGAACGGTAATTGTATTGTAGGCAACAAGGAGGACATAACTTGTTGATCGCGTCTTCGCAAGTAGTTTCAAAGTCTCAAAGTCCAAAGAATTGGTCTGTGATACATTGTTGTTTAGATTTTTGTTTTTAAAAGATTTGATGAGGGACCATAGTTTAGCCGAAAGAGTACGATGATTAAAGCTACTACAGAATTTTTTCCAGCCAAGCCTTTTTTCCTTGCGTAGAATTTTGGTGGTAAGGGCGCATTGTTTTTTGTAAGCTAGATAACTTTTCCAGGATAGATTGCGCTTATATTCCGCAGTGGCAAGTTTTCTCGCTGCAACAGCATCGCGACAAGTATCATTCCACCAAGGGGGCTGTTTACGCCGATCATCTAAGGAGCGTTATCGCAATTGCTTAGCTTTGTTGGAAGCAGCAAGCTCTATGCCATGTTTGATCTCCTGTACTAAATCCTCATAAGTCTTCTCTGGTTGGGACCAAGTGAATAGAAGGAGGAGGAGTGAGAGCATTGTGAGGGAGAGCAGTGTTGCATAAAATGATGCTCAGACTCTTGTTTGTTCAGGTTGATTTTATAACAAAATCTAAACCTTGACTGAGGAGAGCGACCTAGTTGCACCTTTACAGGAAGGTGGTCGCTATAGTCAGAATCTAGAGTAATAGAGGAGCAGATAAGAGCGAGTCACAAGTCGATGATAGAACGCCTGTGATTAGGGAGTTGAATGAGGATGGTGTACTGTCATTTAAGATAACAGCGCCAAGGTCGTCCAAGATTTCCAGTAGAGAACGGCCCTCTCAGTTGACATATTCGCAGTCCCATGCCGTGTGGTGTGCGTTTAAATCTCCCATAAAAATGAATCTGATCTTTTGGCCGAAAGAATTTAACATGTCTTGCAGTAAGTCCCTGGGAGTGTCCTTTCCTGGATGACGATATACGTTGACGATGTACAGAAGTTCATTGTCCATAAAAATTCTAATACCCTGAATCTCGACTGAATGATGTGATATATGAGATCTAATATCTAAAAGTCGATGTGACTTCTAATCAGAATACATAGGCCCCTTTGACCTTGAGAAGATATATCTTTTCTAACACATGAAAAGCCAGGCATCGAAAATAAGATATTGCAGTCAAGCAGCGTCTCCTGTAAGGAGCAAACAAGGTCAAATTCAGAGATAAAGTTTGTCAAATGATGAATACCTCTCACTCCTCTACAGTTCCACTGCAAGTGAAACTATTAGTCGGAGTAGCTCCTTTACAAGTGAATTTTGCTAATTAAAGAGTTAAGAGTAGCATTGTTTAATAAATCAGCAGCGATAGGCATATTATTAAGTTGTGCGAAGATAGAAAAGATGAGTTGCAAAAGGCAAGCAAAGTCGAATTGGTTATGAGCAGGAATTGAAAAATAAGGATTGTAAAAGGAAGATGGGGGAGAAGAAGATGGGAGGTTGGGATCCACGTTGACATTCGTCTGTTTTGATTAGACTGGTCAGAAAGAGTTAGAGCGTACGCAACGCCATTGCTAATCGAGAGTGAGGGGGTGCGCCTATTACGGAGAATGTCTTCTCTGGGGTCACGTGGAGAATCATTAAGCTCAGTCCGAGCTTGAATAAGAATATACGGAGAAGGCTTGGTCCGTGTAGATCCAATTAAGTTTTTCCCAGAAGATACGGAGGATCTTCTCAGACTCGATGCGGCAACATAAGAGTGGTCTTCATTAATAAGTCTATTTGCAAGTTCAGAATTCAAGGGGACGCCTGTCCATGTTGTCGCTCTGCGAAACCGAATTAGTTCTCTTGGTTAGAGAAGGAAAGCTGTCAAAATCTGATATCTCGTTCAGATGTTGGGAGTTCAGATGAAATTCTCTTTCTGGCTTCGAGCAAGGGAATATTTTCTTGGGTCGCTAAGGCCACAATTTTCTTTTGCTTGATAACTAATGTGCATTCATTGGAACTAGGGAGATGATCGCCGTTACAATTGATACACCTGGGAGGCACGTCCTTGAGATTGCAATCTTGAGTATGAGGAGCCTCGCCACAACGCATCTGGCACTTCTTCTGTAAGTTTTATTAATATGCCCTGCTTTGTAGCAGTTGTAACAAATGCGCTTAGGGATGAAAACAGAAACAGCATGTTTGATGTGAAAAAAGGGGACATATTTGGGGAATGATTGGCCAGCAAATTTGACGCATTTGACTTGGATGTATAATTTCAAATTTTCCGTTCTTTTTTTTTTTTTTTTGATAACGGAGGGGAAATGCCTAACGCATACCCCGAGCCTCGGGGGGGAGCCCGGGATTATGTGGGGCTTGCACCCACTAAAACCCCTCCGAGTGTCCTTACCTGGCCTTGCATGAGGGACTCCCAGGAACGCGTGCAGCATACTTCTGGGAGCCCCTCAGGCCAGTTGGCTTATTGCCGACTTCGATTCCCGCCCGGAGATTTTTATGACGTCGTCTTATAAGACGACGTGGCCCTGGGTGGTGCTGGGCACCGACTACTATGTTCGGGTGCTGGGGGGACACCACCCCCTGCGCCCGCCGCCCCGTTGGTGTTGGGGGGCGGGAGTTGGGGATCACGGCCACCGCCGCGATCCCCAGCCCCCCAAGGAGCGCCAATCAGAAGTTTGGCGCCTCTCATACTTCGGCGCCGCGAGAGGAAGTCTCGCGGCGCACCTCCCGCGCGCGGGGCGCAGGGCTCCCGGCCCGGTCGCGCATTCGACGCGGCCGGCGGATGATGAGCCACTGCACCCCGCGCGCGCGGAGGGTCATCCTGTGTCCGGCGGCGGTGCGACCCTAGGGTCGGCGATCCGCCGCCGCCTCACTGCGCGCCGCGTCCGAGACGCGGGGCCGTCGCTGATGGTGGTGGCGGCGGAGGGGGAGGGTTCACTGACCCCGGCACTCTCGCGCACCACCCCACCGTTCTCCTCTTCTTCCGTCCTCTCCGCAATAGGGGAAGGAGGTCGCCGCCGTTCTCGCCCCGTGGGGCGGTCCCGGCGGCGGGTACGCGCGAGAGGTGACCCGGGGCGCGAACGATCCGGCTGGAGCCGGCGCCCGCGTTGACCCCCAATGCCCTCACCCCTCGCATCTCCTACCCTCCCGTCAGTCCCGCCACCCGGAGGCGGCGGGGGCGGGAGAGGGCCTCGATCTCCCGGTGCCCTCTCCCTCTGCCTTTCAGCCTCCTCCTTCCGCGACATCACCCGATCGCAGAAGGGGGAGAAGGCCCTCCAAGCACTCTCCCTGCCGACTATCTCCTTCACGACAGCCGGCAGTGAGAGATCCTCCCCTATCTCCCGGACCAGGACACCGCGCTCGTCCGCCCAAGCCGGGCAGGTCTCCAGCGTATGCTACGCGGTGTCCCGGTCCCCGTCGCAGTGGTGACAACAAGTGGTCAGCTCCTTACCTATGCGACACAGGTACTCCCCGAAACATCCGTGTCCGGTGAGCACTTGCGTCGCATGGAACGATAGTCCGCCCCATCCTCTGCCTACCCATTCCTCGAGGCAGGGGAGGATAGCCTCCATGGTCCGAGCGCCCGTTGTCGGCGGGTTGTTTTCGAGAGTGGCGCGCCACTCTCCGAAGACTCGTCGACGAGCGTTCCCCCTCAGTCGGTCTACGGTCCCCGGGGTTACGACCTTCCCCCGAAAACAAATGGCCTTCCCCTTG